AAAAAAAAAAAACATTATTTCACTTTGCATCTGATTCTAGTCAAAAGTGATTCTAAAAGAAGCAGTGATAATCCTCTAATATAAATAAGCTCTAATATCACTTTTCATTAAAATAATATTTAGATATTTTATATCACTAAATTCTCATTTTACCCCATGTTATTATTAAAAGCATAGAACATTTTAGTTTTTAATTATATATATATATATATATATTTTTTTTTTTTTTTTTCTATGATTCAACAGCTACATCTCTTATTACTTAATGCAATATGGTGGAACTATGTAATGTGAAAATTCATGTCAGAAAAGTCAAGTACTTTTATCATTGTCACCTCATGTACTTTTTGTAAGTCTTGATATCTTTATTTTATTTATAACCAATTTAGAAGTTTGAGACACCTACTAAATGTGTTGGTATATATCTAGTATATGATAAATATGCATTGCATACCTCTATCTTCGTCCTTGATCTCTTACATGGTTTGTTCTTTTCATTCCTCTTCATTTGTTCTGTTTCATTTCTTTCCTGTCAAAAGTAAATACAGCTCAGTATAAAATAGTAGACATGACTAAGAGCAGTCATAATATGACACTTATTTTCTCAAGAGTATTTATCAAAAAAATAAAATAAAATTCAACGTAGTATAGATCTTTATTCGATGTACTTAAAAGAATAATTATAATGGTGGTAGCATTTCAAGCAAAATGGCCTTAAGTGACAAGGAATGAGGTTTGGGAGAAACGATGTCAAAGAAAAATTGAACACAATATCCAAGATCACTTGCAATGCAAACATGAAATCATAATAGGAGAATTAACAATGCTTAAATAAACCAGACCATATAGATGGTGTAGCTATAAGGGTATTTAAATAATTTAAAAAGATGGAAGAGATCAATGAGGTGAATTTCAACAAAGTATCTTTGGACTATCATAAGCATGTAATTGTAGACCATTGTAGTTAAATATCATAAGTAGATTCTCTTTTTCGATTTATTGTAGTTCAATTGGCGAATATATATTTTATTCCAAGGTAATACAATAAATGGTCTATGTGAAAGATTTTTCTTCTTGGGAGAATATAAAATGAAAATAGATTTAAGGAATTTATAAGATATATATGTCACACAAAAAATATGATATAACACCAAAAAAAACGTTTAGTACCTCATTTTCAAGTTGAGGACTGGTGCAAGATGCATTGGGATCTTTACTCAAGTTCTGTTTCAGCGTAGTTGGATTTGCTTCAAAATGATCCGAAGCAATATTTCTATTCTCATGAACAACATTGCAATCTTCGATACTAGTCACATTTTGTGCACCTCCCCCTGGTCAAATCTCATAGATCTTAAAACATGAATTTTCGTCTTTTATATATCAGATTACATATTGATGAAATTCAAACATACCATTTTTAGGTATCAAATTGGGTTGCTGCTTCATAGTTGATGGTAAATCGTCCAGCTGAAAGGACTAAATTAATATTGTAAGTATTCTTAACTATACAGCTGAAAACACTAGCATGTTTTAGTGTCTTATTAAAGTACCGGTGTTTAAGATCTCTGAATATAAATGGTGACAAAAATGACATTACATTGCAAAATATGGTTATCAAATCAAGATTCAAATCGTGAATCAACAATCTAATTTTGAATGGTGAATTATTATTTGTATCGAATCATAAGATTCAGTGACCATGAAAAATAACTTCAGTATATATTATGTGATAAATATCCATTATATACCTTTAATTTTATCCATGTTCCCTTGGATGAATTCTCCTTTGCTTGCCTTTTTCTATGCTCTTCCCTTGCATCAATTGCCTGTCCAAGTAAATGCAACTCAGCAAGAAATAATGGACATCACTAAGAATTAAACGATAACATAGCATTTACTTTCCGAAAAGTATTTAACAAATAAATTAATTTTCACTGTAATACACATCTCCATAGGTTGTAGATAGAACAATAATGGTGGTAGCCTTTCATGCAAAATGACATTTAATGACCCCACATAAGCACCACACAAGGGTGATGTGATCATATAGATTTGATTATACTTAAATAAACAAGACCATTTAGATGGTATAGCTAAAAGGGTATTTAACAAATTTAAAGATGGAAGAAATAAATGAGGTGAATCTCAACAATGTATCTTTGGACCATCATAAGCATACAATTGTAAATCAGTGATAGTTTAATATCATAACTAAATTCTCCTTTGTGATTCAGTACAGTTAAATTGGTAAGTGTGAAATTCCTTCTAAGGTAATATTATAAAGGTTTTGTCTATTATATGCAAACATTAAATATCCACTTTTAGCAGTTTTTTGATTAAGAGATTTTGCAAGGACAAAACTTAGTACAGTTTCTTAGGTTTATTTGGTACTGTTCTCCATTTTTTCACTCATATTTAATCTCTCTTCCCACTAAAAAGTTACTTTTCCTTAATATAAAACTATTTAATCTCTTTTTCCTCTATAAAACTCTTCCCCTTTTCTAAAGTACTTTTTTAACTACTTCCTTATGCTTCTGTTACGGTTGCTTGATGTATTTCAACATGATCATTAGACGTTGGAAGCAAACTCTTATTCACAAGCACAAGCAAAGTACCCTTAGATATACATATATGCTCAGCATATTAATGCACTAAGAATTTTGAAGTACAGTTAGTTGGTCTATTAAATAGATTTTCCCTTTATCTTAGGCATTCTTTTATCTTTATAGAAAGTTAACCAAAATGCTAATCAAATACAATATATGGTATAACACCCATAAAAATTTAGTACCTCTTTTTCATGTTTAGAAATAATGCCAAATTCATCGGTGTTTCTACCCAAATTTTGATTCAGCTCAGTTGGATTTGCTTCAATGCGACCTACTCCGGTATTTTTATTCTCATGAACAACATTGAATTTTCCATTACCAATCACATCCTGTGCACCTCTCCCTGATCAAGTCTCATGGATCATAAAACATGAATTTTCATCTTTTATATACCAAATCACAAATTAATTAACTTCAGACGTACCATTTCCAAGCATCATATTGGATTGTTGCTGCTTGGTTGAAGAGAAATTCTGCCACCGAAAACCAAAGATTATAAGCATTTTTTAAATCTGAACTATACATATACAGCTTGAAACATTAGCATTTTTAGTGCCTTATTAAATTATCAGTTTTCAAGAGTTCTAAATATAAATGTTGAGAAAAAAAAGATATTACATTACAAAGATGTATACGCACCTTAGATGAAGATTTTGTAGATCCACCAGCATTGTTAACATCATGGCCTACAACAGTTGTGTTCTCACTGTACACAGAATTTTCAAATTACGTTTGGAAAAGATGTGATGGAAATTTTCACCAGAAGAACAAACGTAACCTACCTCCTTGTTAGTTTTTCCCTAGTGTTTCCTAGGATTGAAGGTCTTTTCCAATTCTCTCTTGACCCCCCGTTTATAGGTTGGGACCTATTGGTTCTTAGGATTGAAGGTCTTTTCCAACTTTCTCTTGATCCCCAAGTTATAGGTTGCAAGCTCTCATTAAATGTGTTCAGAAAATTCATGTTTGTTGCAGCAGAAGTCCTTTGTATGTTATCCGCAGAAGCTAATAGAGCACTTGGACCAACCTGCAAAAGTGGTTGTATCATATGCATTGGTGAAAATACAAACACATAACAAATGCAAATTCCACAAAATCTGAAGCATATGGCAGCTTCAATTTAATAGAAATCATGGAAGAAAAAATGAAGAAAATAATAACCATATCAAATGACTGAGGAATTAGACTTGGTCCAGTTGTCATAGGAAAATTGGAGAATGGCCTCCTATGATACAGAGAACCATATTGAATTGGCGTATTCCATGTCTTGATCAAACAATAAATAACATGAAATTAAGGCACAATGGCTCATGAATAGTTCCTTCATCATAATCAAAGTACGTTATCAAATATAATATGCATGAATGTGTAACCACTACCTGATTTGACAACCAGGAGGAATGAAAATGAGAACCGGATGGATTTAGACTGGAAGTTGGAGTAGAGTCAAAATGATAAGTCTGGTTACAAGTGATACAGAGTGTTAATTTATTATCCTATAAGCTTAAAAATCTATTTATATACAAGTTTAGAAGAGCTTCGAGAATTTTTCTATAGAAAAAACTCTCTAATTTTGGTTCAGAAGTTTTGAAAAGCTTTTTTAAACCAGTATCTAAACAAATTCTTAGTATACAATGTCTCTAAAAAGAAAAGAGAAAAAATAAATAAATAAACAGACCTGCATATAAGTAGACCGTGGAGGTGGCAAGGGTCTACTCAGGTTCTGTGTTCTCTGTTGGAAAAAGAAAATTTGGTGAATACAAGGGAATATTTATCAGGTCTAAGTAGATCCCAAATACAGAAATTTAGTTGAGATGGAATATACATGTTTGTTTGCATTTAAATGCAATCCATACTGTCTAGTGTTGGCAACTCTCTTGGAATTTTCTGATTCCATAGCTCAAAATATACTTAAAAACCTGTCTTAATGAATAAAATGCATTTAGATCAAATACTCTATGAATGAGAGATGAATAGCTGAAATAAACAAAATCCAGGGGAAAAAGTGAACATTTATTTGAGACTATGGTTTGCTTCTACGACAGAAAAATGCATATATTATTTGAGCACAACATCATTGATTTTCCTTGCATTTCTTTCTCCTGAGAAAAGTTTTAGGATTTAGAAGACTAAAGTTACATGTGGGGTTCATCAATCACATGACCAAATCCACCTACATTGAGACTCCTTGTCAGTGGTAGATTGACTTTGATAGATCCAATCTCTAAAATAAAAAAGAGTAAATAGACGTGATCAAAAATTAAAAGTGACAAACTTGTGGTTAATGATCCAAACTTTTGTCTTTTTCTACCTCAAACGTGTGTGTGTTTAATTATTCTTAAGACTTAAGAACCTTTAATTTCAAAGTGAACCTTGTAAACACAAAGCCAAGCTTCTCAAAAGACAATCCCTGTAAATCCCACACATCCTATTGATCAACAAGACACAAGCATTTAAGAAGAAAAGGAAAAGATCTTTCAACATCCTATGCCAACACCATCAGAAGTTAGGCCACAAGAATGAATTTTATGCCATCACAAATTTCACACACGCAAAAAAAATCTCATTCAATCTGTTTTGAGTAAGGTTTTTCTTTGGTCCATCACTCCATCTGCTATGAGAAAGTTAAAACACAAGAGAACAAAAAAACTATCATCCAAAAAAGATATCATAAATAAAATAATATTGAGAGCATAAAATACATAAAAGCCCTGTTCAGGTGGTTTGTCTTAGACTAATATGAATGAACATGTCATGTCTGCATAATAAAAATCAGAAAGAAAGAGGAGGAAAAACCTGAGTGTGGCGCCAAAACAAAGTGCATATGAAAGCGAAATTTTTGTCAATTGAATATGCATGTATGTTCTTATATACAAATATTATAATATATAATAATTTAATTTAATATTACATATATAACAAGATGAAAAAGGAATAGCATCTATCACTTAGCATGTCTGTGCCATAACAATCATACTTTCCTATGTTTGCAAAGAATTATATGCATGTCCAATTTTGGTTTTCACTTAAGAGGCCATTCATATATAAGGAAAAAAATTACTTCCCAAAATTCATACTTGCATTATATATCTGTTTGTGTTGTGTACCAGATTTGCACTAATATAAACTTTTATTTTCAGAATATAAAAGATCATGGGATTTCCTCATTGTAATTTTTTTTTTCAATTATACATGAAGGATGTTAAATATCACGAAAGTGAAAATAAAAGGGAATGATTATCACCATAATACTTTACGAGAATAATTTTACAGCTTTTAAAATTCAAATTAATGCTTAATGTACAATAAAAAAAATCATCATAATAAATTAATAACGTTTTTTTTAAATAGTATGATGAAATAAACATTAAATGCAGTTTTGGTCAAAAAAACATTAAATGAAGTTTTGGTTAAAAGAGAAAACATTAATGCTAGGCATTAAGTATTTATCTCACATCAATTAATATTATTCACAGCTATTAAAAATGAAATTTATCTTTTTTTTTAGTACTTATTCAAATATTTATTGAGCATTTAAAATAATATATTATCCTAATAATGCATTTTATAATATAATTTTAATTCAATGAAATTGCGCTCAAATGTCCTTAGAACATTGGTTAAGAATTTATGGAAAATGATATTGAAAGTGATTGGTAAGATTAATTGATAAATTAGTTAATTAATATAAAATGATGTTTTTATTTATTTAATAAGAATAGTGAAACTAACATATTGACAAAAGGGTTTCAAATTTTAAAAGGTAAAAAAAAAATTGATCTCAAATAAATTAATGATGATAAAAAAAAATTAAGAGCTTATATATTATAAATTACTTCAATTAATTTATGGAAATAAGTTATAAATTCATCAAATAAACTAATGTGTCATACAAATTTATTTTAAAAATAGTTTATAAGTTTTCTATCAAACCCACTCTATATGTAGAAATCTTATTGATGTAGTATAAAACTATTTTTTTTTTAGGGGAGTATAAAACTATTATGGACAACAAAACTCTTTATGTCTTTTGAAATGATAAAAAAATATTCATTATAAAAAATAAAATTTCTCTTTATATATAATATTAAAATAAAATGATAGATATGGATAAAAATAATTTTATAAAATGTATGAGTAAATTTCATATTTCATTAATAATTTAAAAAATAAAATTAAAAAATAGACTTAAGTATATTTTAAGTCTTCATAAATATATTTCTATTTCTTTGTTTTTTTTATTATTATATCCTTATATTATTTTAGTTTTCTATTTTAGACCTTATTATTAATTTTAGTGTTAACATGCATAACAAATAAATAATATTTATTGAGATAATTAGTGATAAAAAATATTTTAAAATTAAGAAAACTGAATACTTTTTAAGTATTAAATTCAATTAAATAATTCATTTAATATTTTATATGATAGAGGTAGTTATATATAATTAGTATTTTAAGTTGTGTATTTCACAAGTTAAATGTTTATTATATATAACTAAATTTTATAGCAAAAATTATATATATAAATAAATATTATATCTTTATCATAATTATAAATAATATAAGACAAATCATCAAAATTAAGAAATTAATTAATATGATTATTTTTAATTAATTCTTTCATATTCAAATTTTATTTCAAACATGTCATTTACTTTAAGCAACTGTTATATTTAATATTAATGAATGCATAGGAAATAGAGTTAAAAATAAATGAAGGTATTAAAAAATTTAATCCTAAATAAATTTAAAACTAATAATTATTGTTTATATTTAGAAGAAAAAAATTAATTTATTACTTATAATTAAGAATAGAGGTAATATGTTTTAATATATAAATTATATTTATAAATATATATTTTTAAACATGAATTATATTATCAAATTAAAATAAATAATTTATATTATGACACAAGATTATTTTTAATTATTGATAATTTATTTTAAAAATATTAAATTTTAATTCATAAAAAAATATGTTAAATAAGAAATTGAATTAAATAATAAATTAAAAATATCTCTAAAGAAATTCCTATAAAAAATAATTCCTAAAAATAATCTCATGTAAAATAATGACTCGCGTTTCATGGATAGAGATTGATTTATTTTTATAATTTTTAATTTTTAAAATTAAAAAATAATAAATTTTATTAGCTTTGATATTGTTCTTTCTTTTTAATTTATTACATACTTTTAATGTATTTCCTTTGTCTTTGAAATAAAATAATCATTTATCATATACTGAAATAAATAAATTATATTACAATCAACCAAAATTAATGAATCAAATTATAATAATAACATCAAAAGTAATATATTAAAATTAGGGTTAAATATGTATTTAGTTCCTCAAATTTAAGGTAAATTTATTTTTGGTCCCTCAAATTTAAAATTGTTGTTTTTAGTCTATGTAATTTCAAAAAATCTTATTTTAATTCTTATATTCCAATTTTATTAAGAAATTTATCAAATATTATTGCATAAAATCTACTTATTGGTGTCCTTATTAGTGAAAATATTACATTAAATCTGGTTGATATTTATAATTTTCTTAATTAGTCACTTTCAAATATGTTATTGGTGACCTAAGAGACTAAAATAAGATTTTTAAAAATCACAGAGCCTAACCATAACAGTGTTCCATTCGAGAGATTACAAACAAATTTGTCTTAAATTTGAGGGACTAAAAATATATTTAAGCCTTAAAATTATATTATAAACTATTTTGAACTAAATATAATAATAAAATTAATTAGTGAATTAATGGAAGAACAATATTAAAAACAATAAAAGTTGTTGTTCGTAGTATATTAAAAATAAAATAGAATTATGATAAAAAGTTATATATAAGTATATCTTATTTATATAAAATAATTATTGCATTATTTAATTAAGTTACTCTATATAATTACCTTAATTTAATTTTTATTAATTTTTCTTAATTATATTAATTAATATTCTAATTTTTATTAATCATATTAGTACTAAACTATTTAGAATTAATAATGAAAAAACAAAAACTGAACAAATATCAAGTATCTTAATTAATATATATATATATATTGCAATGACTAAAATCAGAAACAGTCATAATTACATGAACATAAATATATTTAAGCCATAAAAAATATATGAAAGACCATTTGCTCTAAAATACAAATATAAAATAAATGTTTTTAAAGAAAAGAGTAATCTGTTAGGTATAAGAGATGAGCTTTTAAAATTCAAATTCATGGTTAATGTAATATATATATATATAATAATCAGCATATAATACTTTTCCAAATACTAATGAAATAAACATTAAACACATTTTTTATTCATATATTGGGTTTTTTTTTCTCGCTTCCCAACATTTTTTTAAAAAAGAAATATCCTTGAAAAAAATAAATTTTTTTTTGTGTATAATTAATTCATTTTTCATTCTTATGCATTGGTTATTTTTATTAAATAATTAATAACTTTTTAAGTTGGATAAACTGTAAATAATAATTACGAAAAAGGAAATCAATAAAACAATCAATTAATTAAAAAAATTAATGAAAATTAATTGATTAAAATAAACAAGTCAAAATTAACTTAATTATTTATTTTACTGTTTATTGCAGGAAAAATTATAAAAAATATATTTTGTTAATAATTTTATTAAATAATTAAAATATAAAGTTAAATTAATCAAACAATCAATTAAATCAAATGATTTAATTGATTGAATAACTTTAAATAATTAATTGTCAGAAAATGTTTTTTTTTTTTTTTGTAGTTTATATATATTTGGTGTCATTTTCAAATCCTCATGCATGATTTGATTACTTTAAAAAGAAATGGTCACAAACAGTTTAATACAAGAATTGAACTCTAACTGAATCCATAAGCAAAGTAAAGAATTGAAATTAAACTGTTTTTTCAAAACTGGATAGACTCTGGTTCAATATTTTGTTTGACGCCAAACAGAGATTGTTCTTCGCACTAAAATAGGCACCTTTCCTCCTTAGTCGGTCCCATAATTTACTATCACGGTTACTGTTTATAACACTCAACTACACTAATTGTTTTTTTTTTAATAAGATTCGATTCACGTTATTTTATATATTAATTATTTTTAAACTAAAATATTTTTAATTAAAATAATTTCTCTACTTTTCTTAATTTTATAAAATACATTAATTTTAAAGAATATGAACTCAAATTAGATAGGAGAAAATAAACATTAATTAAGAGAGTCTAATAGTATAGGATATATACTCTAATTCGTTAAAAGATGAATGAGTATTAATTAAGAAAAAAAAGTAATATATGAATAATTTTAGAAAAAAATTATAAATAAGACAATTTTTTTTGTTATCAACTAAATTAACTATTTTTCTTAATATTAAAGAATTAGGTAATTGAATCTTATATATTGGAACGAAAGTAGTATTTTGTCGTGATAAACATATACAAATTCTGTTTCTATTCATAAGAGCCAACTTAGAATAATTTCTTGTTATTTTATATAAGACCTAATTCATAATGTTTGATGTATTAATTATTTTTAAACTAAAATATCTCTAATTAAATTTTTTTTTTAATTTCATCAAATACATTATTATACATTTTAAATTGCATGCATTAAATAGTTAACAAAGCAAACATAATTAATTATGAGAGAGAATTAGTACAAAACATGCAGTTTAATTGGTTAAGAGATGTGTGAGTATTACTTAAAAAAGAAAAATAATATGAATAGTTTGAAAAAAAATATAAAAATAGGATAATTTTTTTGTTATCAAGATTAACTATTTTTCTAATCTTGATAGATATTTGAATCTTATATATAAAAACAGAGATAATATCTTAAATATAAAAGTTAAAAAAAAGTCTCAAAATAAGTGTAATATTAACTTTTTAATATAGAATTAATTACTTTTTTCATGTATATCTTTAATAACATTATTTAGAAAAGTATTGTTGTGATACATCATAACACTAAAAAATATTAATACTTGTTATCTTTTTTAATATTTGTATAATAATTTATCATAATATGTTAAAGTTACTTAAAAAATAAGTTATTTTAAGAATACTTCACTTAATAACTCATAATTTATATTAAATTTTAATAATTTAATTATTAAATTAATTTTTTTTTGACAAAATAGATTAAATTAAAAAAAAGATTAAAATATATTTTTAATCTCTATAAAATTAACAAGTTTTCATTCTAGTCTTGTAAAATTTTTCCTTTGTTTTTCATCCTTATAAAATTAAAATTATTATTTTTAGTCTCTATTTTTATATGATCATTTTTTATGTACTTTTTATTTATTGAAAAGTTAAGTAATTATTTTAAGTGTTACTTACAACCATTATGATATCATATTGATATTTAACACCTCTAAAAAAATTTATAGATCCTAAAAATATATTTTATTTATCCACCTTAAAAATATCAAAATTTTCTCATTTTATAATGATTAAAAATAATATTTATAAATTTATAAGGATGAAAAACAAAAAAAAAAATTAAGAGACTAAAATTAAAACCATCAATTTTATAAAGATTAAAAATATATTTAAGTTAATTAAAAAATATTTAATATTTTATTATATATTTAAATTAACGTAAGATATACTTTTACAAATATCCATTTCTCTTTTAATTTTATATTTTCTCTCTCATTCTCTTTTATCTATCCCTTCCGGTCCATCCAAAATGAACTAAAATTACTATTAAAGTCACCCAATCCATTTCGGTTAGTAAAATCCTAAAATAATTTGCAGACAAGGTAGACTATACTTGTTTAAGTATACATTATACCTGAAAATTTTGGATAAATTACTCTAAATAAACGTCACTGATGATAGTAAAGTCTGAAAAATAAGTCTTTTGTTGACTTAAATTTGCAAGGTTTTTGCGCACTTGCATTTGTTCAAGGAATCATTCCAACTCTGAATTAGTTAGGTATAGTTACAAATAATTGTTCAATAATAATGGCTTGCAACATTGATAAAACTATATTCTTTTCATAGAAATTAACTGGAATCGTTCAAACAATAAACCCTAAAAAAGAAATATTATCCTTTAGGAACTGCTTTGAAACTGTCAATGAAAATGAAATTCACATTAATATTATTTGTTTAAGGCGTCAGTAGGCCCACCCTATCATTTTTTTCTGCCAATTTCTTTTGTCTACTTAGAATGCTTTATTTTCTCAAGATGGATGCTTATGACACACGGTGTATTTTTCCATATATTTAAAAGTCTCATATTATTAAAGAATCAAATTCAGAGTAATTTATAAATATCCACTTTTTAACTTAATAAGAGACATTTTCAATGTTAAAATTGACAATACTTAAAATATATTATTAAATTTAATGATATCAGGTTCAGGTGACTTTCGATCAAAATATTTATTAGTATTATAAAATCATATAATCTCTCACAAAAACTTTTGCTCTAACACTGCATGCCAGCCAATAACCAATTGCTGTTTCGTCTTATTTTATTAGTTAAAGCAGCTCATAACTCATAAGTGAAGTCAAATCCAATCTTGTTCACGTTACACGTTTTCCATCTCTCTTCCTTTTTCTTTTCTTTTTGTTTCGTTTGTATCAATTTTGCAATGCCCATAATCCAAAGTTAACCAACATTTGATTCCAATCCTTCTGTTTCCTTGTTCCAACATCTTCCTTTGTATCTTGTTTTGCAAGCAAAACAAGAATTGCCATATTTGTACATGTTTTAGAAAACTTTATCAGCAAATATACTTGACACTTGACAGTACATATCCATAGCAAGTTGAATTTGAATGGGGAAAGGAGGAGGTTGTTTTCCAAGCAAGACGAAGGCACCGATTAAGGATCCAATTAGTGTTGAAAGCTTAGCCCCAAGAAATGATCCAAGTAGCACAAGCCAAGAGGGTCCAGCAGCAGCACCTGAAGCAGTGAAAAAGCTGAAAATTTTCATTGTGTTCTATTCGACTTATGGCCATGTGGAGTCATTGGCAAGGTCCTTGAAGAAAGGGGTAGATTCAGTTGAAGGTGTTGAAGGGGTGTTGTACCGTGTTGTTGAGACACTGCCTAAGGAGGTGTTGCAACAAATGAAGGCACCTGAGAAGGATGATAAGGTGCCTCTCATATCTGCAGACAAGTTGGTGGAGGCTGATGGCTTGCTCTTTGGATTTCCGACAAGGTATGGCAGCATGGCAGCGCAGATGAAGGCGTTTTTCGATTCCACTGGCCACCTGTGGAAAGAACAGAAGCTGGCAGGGGTGCCTGCTGGCTTCTTTGTCAGCACTGGCACTCAGGGTGGAGGTCAAGAAACCACAGCGTAAGAACTAAGAAGCCCTTCATTCATGCATGCATAAATAACAACATTTCTCTTCATTTTGTTTTCTTTAATGCGTGTTCACAAGTTTATCAATGCTTATAAGTTATAGTTGATAGAGTTTAATTAGTGAAGATCTTTTACACCGTGATCTAATTATAGACTGTCATGAATGATAACATTATTGAATCTTATAATAGTTACTTTTGAAAGTTGTATTTGAAGTGATTTCTAATTGAGTGAATGTAAAAATCTTTATACCGGAAGTATATAAAAACTAGAGTACTAATGTCTAATTGATATTTCATTTTTAGAATTTTATGTTTTTTAGTGTATTTGAATACAAGCTTAAAAAAAAACATTTTTAACTTGTATCCAAACATATTATATATCTTGTTAGAACAGGGTTTTGAAGTAGTTATATATATATATATTTTGAGTGAGGACTAGAGAATATGCATATCATATCTTTATGATTAGCCATTTAGTTGATTAGAATAGATTGCTGTAAGAATTTAGTAAACCTTGTTTCAAATACAATATGCGTTGTTGATTAGTGTCAATCAGTGGAACTTAAAAAATTGTTATGTTAATGAATAATTTCAACTCATGGATTGTTTGATCCGGGAACCCTTGGTGGTCTTGTTTTAGCTAGAGTAAACAAATGAATTAGAGGGTAGTGTCAGGGGTGAGGAGTATGTATTTGAAAGACACTTGGAAATAGATGCTGTTAATGAAGTAATATTATTGTTGTTGTTTTGATTGTAACATAATGAGATAATGGTGAGCATCATGATTGGGAGACAGACCTACAATGAGTAACATGGCTTTTATGAGTATTATTGTAGTTGGACAGCAATCACACAGTTAGTCCACCATGGAATGCTCTATGTTCCTATTGGTTATAGCTTCGGTGCTGGAATGTTCGAAATGGACACCCTCAGAGGTGGATCTCCATATGGTGCTGGAGTTTTTGCTGGCGATGGATCAAGGCAAGCAAGTCAAACAGAACTGGCCCTTGCTCAGTATCAAGGAAGTTACATGGCCACAATTGTCAACAAGTTAGGCCACAAAAGCTAGTTTCTCAGTGGTCAAAACCTTATTAAATAAAATAAACTTTATTATAAGTTAACTATGCTTAAGATAAAAGTAAATTCTTGTGAAGTTAATATGAGAAAGCTTTTATAAATTAATTTATGCATAAGTTAATAAATTAACTTATGTATTTTTTTTTTCTCTGGAAAGTGTTTACGAAGAAACGGTCCTTAGTTTTCTAATGTTGTGTTTATTATTTCTACAAGATTAATTATAGCTTGATCATGAAGCTTGTCCTCTCTTTAAAAATATGTACACATTGTAAACTTCATGATCGTGACTCTGTGCTGTGCTGTTTAATACATTATTTATGACTGAGGTATACATCGAGGGGATTCACAAACTATCTGTCTCCCCAGATTAAGTAACATGTCGTAACGAAATTAAAGAAAGTGCTCCAATTGATTCCTTGAAAAATGAAGGAATAGGATGTGACATCAAAATCAATGTTGCGATTGGTATATAGGAATTGCAGGGTTATTGGATTCAAACATAAAACTCGTGTGCTAGTAGCTCATGATTGAGAGGCTCCGTAATTGGTCCTTTTCATGGGCAAGGTCGTTTGTCAAACAGAAGCTGTTAGTCTACATTTCACATTGATCATTTTTTTCTTCTTTTCAAATTACTTTACAACTGCAAACACACGCACTACACCCACATATATTTACGGATTATTTTAATATTATATTTTAACATTATTGCATTGTTATATTAATATTTATCTAATATATACCCATAATGGTTGATGTAATAATTAGACATTTTACACCACTCATGTGGAGATGATTTATTTTACGAAAAATAAATATTCGATTTTTATCATATATAAAAAAAAACTTGTTAAGTGAACAATAGTCACAATATTATGAGATAGATTAATAGTTGACTTAATGGATTAAAGATATTTATAATAGGACAAAAAATTTATCTAACCATTTTTTATAGTAGTATATTTATAATTTGATTTATTATTTTTTAACATGTACATATTATTTAAAATTTAGATTCAAGTATATAAGGATTGATATAATTATGAAAAATTAAATAAACAAAAACGGTTGCCCTTTCCTACACGAGTCAAGCAATTTTATGAGATTGATTTAATTAGGGTAAATGAATTAAGATAAGGAATTGAAAATCCAATTCAGGCCATGTAGTGTAAGATTTTTGTTTAGTACTAACGTGAATTGTAAAATTCACAAAATTAAGAAAAATGGCAAAAGAAAAAAGTAATTAAACCCATTAAAATTGTTTCCAAAAATTTGACTTCCAACATGGGCATTCTGGAGGTGGTTGGGTCCAATTTTGAAACAGTAGAGACCACTCCGAATGGACTCTGCATTGGGCCGCAACGCCCGAAGTCCATAGAGGAAATGGGAAAAGGTGAGAATTTAGATTATGAAGGGTTAAAAAGGTAATTTAGAAAAGATGAGGGTAGAAGAAGAAGAAGAGTTGGCGAAACTCGGTTATTGACTGACTCGCAGTGGAGAGAGGTGTGGCAGTCAGTGTTCCAAAATGTCGAAGCTGATCTTACTCTTCCTTGCCCTCATTCCTCTTCTCTGCTCCTCCTTCTCGCCGGAGACACCCTCAGATCGCCGCGTCCTCGTTTTGCTCGACGACTTCGCCCTCAAATCCTCCCACTCTCTCTTCTTCAACTCCCTCAAATCTCGCGGCTTCGATCTCCACTTCCACCTCGCCGACGACCCCAAAATCGCGCTCCAGAGATACGGCCAGTACCTCTTCGATGCCTTAATTCTCTTCTCCCCCACCATTGAACGTGAGTTTTTCCCATTGCTGTGTGCTTTTCTTTTCCCCCGATAACTATCGAGATCTTCATTTCTGTTGCTGTTTCGTTAATGGGTCTTGGGGATGTCCGGGTTTTGCCTTCTCTGTGTTTCCGAGTTTCCGTTTTTAGGATTAGGGTGTTTTTGATTGGGTGCAGGTTTTGGAGGATCCGTTGACGCGGCTGCAATTCTTGATTTTGTCGATTCGGGTCATGATTTGGTCGTCGCTGCGGATAGCAATGCGTCTGATTTAATTAGGGAAATCGCCACCGAGTGTGGAGTGGACTTTGATGAGGTGCTTGCTATCAATTTGATTTTATTAGCTCAATTGGTTTTTTGTGCATGGTTTTTCTTCTAGTAAGGTTGTAGTTTGCTCAGGTGTTGTTAATTGTATGTTATTTTGGCGCTTTCAAGTCTTACCCTTTGCTTTTTTGTTTAATTTATGATTTAGGATCCTGCTGCATTGGTTGTAGATCATTCTGGATATGCAGTCTCTGCTACCGAAGGGGATCACACGTTGATTGCTAGTGATGATTTTATCAAGTCTGACGTCATATTGGGAAGCAAAAAAATTGAGGCAAGTTAATTTATAATTTGTTAATACTAATAGCTGCATTATGCACAATGAGTGTTTGAGGCATTAACATTTTTTTTCTTCATCATACTGTCTGAGAGCATGAAGTTGTTTATGTTTATTTTCTTTGCCCGTTTTGTCCTTTGTTTAAACGGGGTGAGGCTTTTTCATGTTTCTTGCAAATGCTTCTTGGACACTACAGCACTCTTTTATGATTTTTCTCATTACATGCGACAGGCTCCAGTGCTTTTCCAGGGGATTGGGCATTCACTAAATCCTACCAATAGCCTGGTAATATTTCTTTATCCTATAGTTCACATGTTGTCATTAGCAGTATTGCATTTATAAAAGTGTACGTTAGTTTGGTTATACTCTTTCTTGTGTTTCAATCCAGGTGTTGAAAGTTCTCTCTGCATCTCCTTCAGCCTTTTCTGCTAACCCAAAATCTAAAGTGACAACTCCTCCATCACTCACTGGATCTTCGATCTCATTAGTTTCAGTTATACAGGTATGATATTATTTCATCCTCCTGCTGTGTGCGTGACTTTTAACATGCCCTAGCTCTGGTGCTTTTGAAATTTGCATGCAAGGCTTGATTCTTAAATGATATTTTATTCTTCTCAAAAGTTATCCGAAACCCTTTAGGTTTGGAATAGTATAATTACAGCGGTTATACACAAATATTTTTGTTTATCTCGTGTTTTAAGTATATATTTCCTTTGATCCTTATTATAAGGAACTTGTCACAGAATATCACAAACCAATATAAGAGAGAGAGAGAGAGAGAGAGAGAACACTTATTTCTCAAATCCTCTTCTCATTATTCAACAAGAAGCACATATACTCATAATTTTTAATAGAGGCAAAAAAGGAAAAATAAAATAATATTTTATAAAAATTGTAAAATGCCTTATAAAAAGGACCGTAATTTTTTTCTAAATTGTGCCTTATAATAAGGAGTAGGATACAAATATACCATCACCAGTTTCATAAAACACGTGTGTGATACATTTTTACTGTTCATTGCTTGCTTTTGTGATTTTTGTAGAGTTTGATTATGAACCTATGTAGTAATTCTCTCCTTTTTCTTTTTGGCAGGCAAGAAATAATGCTCGCATATTGATCTCTGGCTCATTGAGCATGTTCAGTAACCGGTATGAAAGGCTCACTTATTGATCAGGGTTTTGTGGTACTCACTAGTATGTAAGCTCTGAAGCTGATTTTTCCATAAACTTGGGTTTTTCTGCAGATTTTTCAGGTCAGGTGTTCAGAAGGCTGGGAGTCCAATCAAGTGAGTAAAGCATTAAGCTTTTTCTTTCTTCTGTTTTCTGTCAGAAAATTTCACTGCTAGAGTAGCTGTCTTCTCTCTTAATATTGCTCTACATCCAACTTACAGTGGCCATGTCTTTTTCCCCCCTAGAATTTGATTTCTTGTGGAATAGGTTCTGCAAAGAAATGCTTGGTGATTTTTTGTTTATTTTTTGAATAACAGACACGAGAAGTCAGGTAATGAGCAGTTCTTGAATGAACTTAGCAAATGGGTTTTCCACGAAAGAGGTCACCTCAAGGTAAGGCAAAAATACTTGAGACAATTTTATTGTCATTTATTTGATATTTGACATCATCAATTATCATTGTTACTGTTAATTAATATGCTTTCTCTTCATGTATTGATTTTAAGGCGGTGAATGTGCAACACCACAAAGTTGGAGAAGCTAATGAACCAGCAATCTATAGGATCAATGATAATTTGGTAATTGAAATACTGTTCCAATGCTGTTTTATATCATGTTTGCTTTAATTGATACAATACCTGATGGGGCTCACTTATCCAATCCCGTTAAAGGAATACTCTGTTGAAGTTTATGAGTGGTCTGGGTCAGCTTGGGAACCTTACGTAGCTGATGATGTTCAAGTGCAATTTTACATGATGAGCCCCTATGTCTTGAAGACTTTATCAACTGATGGAAAGGTGCTTTTGAATTTCCTGTTGGCTTTTTAATTTCTTCTGTAATGAACTCTTGAGCGAAATTCACTGGATTATATTTTCTCTTTCAGGGCCGTTATTTCACATCATTTAAGGTTCCAGATGTCTATGGGGTATTCCAGTTCAAAGTTGAGTATGAAAAACTTGGATATACAAGCTTATCTTTAGCAAAACAGGTAATTTCTGGTTCTCTAATATTTCAACACTTTTGATCATTCTACCCAACGACCCCATTTTCCATATGCCCCTTGTGTTTTAGCTGGGTCACCTTAAAACTTTTATGCATGCGTCCATATATAATATAACAGCTTTTCACACACACCAACATCCGCACCTTTATGAGTTTAAAGTTTCCTCTTTCCAATGACTACCATTTTAAATGTTTACGTTTGTGGTATCTATCTTTGCGTACAGTTTAAGTGGTCATATTTCAGAATTAATTGCCGCTTGCCAGATGAGAGTTTGTTACAAGATCAACTTAAATTCCAATATTTGACAACCTTTAGTTTTGAAATTTCAATACTTCATAATTTATTGAAGTTGTATGCTATAATAAGTTCAATATTGTAAACAGTATTAATGAATAATGTTGGACTTTCCATGTAGATTCCTGTTCGTCCCTTCAGACACAATGAATACGAAAGATTTATACCAGCAGCATACCCCTACTATGGAGCAGCATTTTCAATGGTAAGGATCTCTCCCATTCTCTGTGTATAGTTAATCTACAAACTGGAATATGATCTTGGTTTTTGTCTCTGGATAAACCTGTTTGTGCATGCCAAAAAGTTATAGCTTATGTATTTCTTGTAGATAGGTCACTCCAGCCCACATGCTTCAGGTTGTTTGTGAGAATGTTTTTGTTTACCTTTGACTGTACTTTATCATGGGAAACTCTAAATTTAAGCTTGTGAGCTAACTTTGAGGTTGTTTGCTATTCTTTTGCAACTAATGAATTTCTGACCGATCTTGAAGTCATATATCTTCAAAAAAAACTCTCAAATAGGGTAGAAGGGGGACTATTTTCGTATAATTGATCTGCTTTTAAGAACTATTGAGACGTATATATGGATAGTCATATGTTCTGTTAAGTCACTTAATGGATCTTGAGAATTCTCCTGGGCTTTTAGTTAATATAAACCCTTTTATTGTGGTGCAGATGGCTGGTTTCTTCGTTTTCACCGCAGTTCATCTATACAGCAAGTAGAGATGTAAACATTTGCTTGAAGATACTTTAGTCTGTAGTACGGGGGTTGAACATGTTTTGAGATCAACAATTTTGATTAGGCAATGATATAAACTGATGTTTTCTAATTTATTATAGATGTGTTACTTTTTCCGTTTGTTGCCCCTGCATTTTAACATCATACTATTTTTGTTTTACAGTAAAAGCATCATTACTTAGCATTTTTTGATGCTGGTGATATTTAACTATAACATTGGCCCAAGGGAAATTGCATTTTCACATTCCACGGGTTTGAAATGACATGATCATTGATAATAAAGCAACGTATGTATGCGTGTGTTTATAAACGAATGTGCATGTTCGAAGCTCTGATATCTTCTTTGTACAATCCGAACCAAGAATTGGCGAATAAAACATGCGGCATACACTTGAAAGGATGTCATATAATAGTATATATAAAGTCCCGTGTAGAGAATTTGGTTCGGCTAGTCCTGTTCAAAAAAATATTTTTTAAAAACTTGTTTATAATATTTTTATGATAAATAGTGAAAAGGTATATTTGATTTAACAAGATTTACAAATTACAATAAGTTATTACATCTATATTTTTAATAATTTTCTTATAAAACTAATTTAGTCATTTGTTTTAATTCATAATTTTTTATATCATGATATTTTACATTTTATATTATTCTAATTTGACATTTTTATATTATAAATGTAAAATTGTTGTGGTTAATATATAGTTATATTACAATTTAAATTTATATATTATTTTTAAACTTTTAGATGCATATTAAATATTAAATATATAAATGATGTTTTATTTTAATTTTTAGTATTATAAAATTATGATATTATATTTATGTTATATTTTATATATTAATTATTAGTATTTCATTAATACTGATTTGTCTATAGTCTATGGTTGTAACTATAATATTTATATAAAATATTTATTTATGGTTATAATTATAGTATTAATACAAAATATTTATCAAACTTTTTTTTTGTCAAAATGACCATATACGCACAGATAACATATCTTTTATCATATTTTTTTTGGTATATACACATCTATTTTCATTGATCATTACTTGTCTTTATTGTTGTAACACTTATAAAGTGAGTTCCAAGAAGAGGCCAAAAGTATTCTTCGGTTAAAAATTAGCGCCAGATATATTGTCAAAATAAATGGATAACTGAGATAGATGAAAACGTTGGGTGAAAATTCATTGAAATAGTTTATAGGCGCAAACTAGGTGACATAATTAGAAGCTGATAGTGAAAGAATCATATGCAAGGAGGAAGATATTAGACTTGGGAAGGACGATGGCAATCGAATTTGCACTCAGAGAGTAACAAGAGGGTTGACGGTGTCCATGGTGAGCAAAGATATATAATTTTATTTTATTTTCATAATTAATTCACTTATCAATCATTTCTCTATTATGGAAAATATTTATATTTATATTTCTTAAAACTTATAGTGTTCGTGTTTTAATGTGAATAATTATAGAATGAAGTAAATAATTAAATTAATATTATTTATAAAAAGATTAATATATTTAACAACATATTATAATAGTGGTATATTTTTTATTTTCATTTAATTTTTTTTAGTTGTTTAGTTTGGTGGTCCTCTAATATTTTCTTAATACAATTTAAATTTATTTAGCATCAAATTTACAATATTAACTTAATTATATATTTATTACGTGAATTTTCAAGTTATAATTTTTTAATTAAAATAAAATTATGATAATGTTCGGAGACTAAAAATGACATTGAGTTAAAAATCTAAGAACTAAAGGAAATTGACTTACAGTTTTATAGATTAAAGTAACATTATATTACTATTACAAATATTAAATGATAGTGTTAGAACAATTCTAATGGGAGTTGCTTGTCTCATGAAGCAACTCAAGTTCCGGTTTCTTGTTATTGGAGGACTCTGACGTGACAACATGAATTCCTGATTGAACATATTTGGGAACGTTTCAGAAATAATAATAATGAAAATTAATTTTATATAATGTTTATGTATTTACTATTGCTTTATTTTATTTTTAATATCTACTTATTGTGTATTTTTTCTTGTAATTTATTTTCTTTCATTGTAGTGCAATTATCATTTTTAATAAAAAATTTAAATTTGGTTCATAAATGATTAAAAAAAAATTAAAAGTTGAATTTCTTAAAATTTCTTACCATTGGTGTAAATTTATACTTGAGTTGCTTAATACTGACATAACATACTAGGGATCACATTTTTCATTTTTCAATGCATGAAACAACTCAAATGAATTGCTTCCATTAAAGATGCTCTTATGTATCAATTCACACATGTACCATGTGTCAATTATGTACATGTCACATAACATTATCGTGTCATGCATGAATTTTCATTCAAAAAAATAAAGTTTATTTAATGAAGGAACTCAATTGAATGATGAATTATAATTTTGGAAACTTTTTAAATTTTATTATAATTAAAAACTAAATTGATAGCTACATACAATTTGAAGGACTAATTTTACTATTTACTCACATTATATTTATAATATTATTATTTATTTTAAAATATATATTATAAATTATATCTTAATTTTAAAATTAATTTTATTCCATAACTTAATTGTATATAATGTTAATAAATATAAGTAAATAGAATAATGGTAAAGTTGATCCAATCTCATTTTATATATTTGAAATCTAGTCAAAATTTTGAGTTAAACGGACAAAAGAAAAGCTACTTTTGTTCACCCTCTAATTTTATCTCAACTCTCATTTTAAGATATTATTTTAGATTAATCTAATTTAATCAAAATGTAAATAAAATTTAATAAAAGATTATTTTTACTAATCGAATAATCTATTCATTTATTTATTGGATGGTGAATTGATTTTATGTATGTACTAATTATTTTGGTTTAAATATGTATTTGTCTTTCAAATTTAAAATATATTTTTCATCTCTCAAATTTAAATAAATCTTTTAATTTCTATAATTAAAAAAAGATATTTTAATCTTATGGTTAAATTTTGTTAATAAGAGGTAAAATAATTATGCAAAATTCCCGTAATAGTATTTTGTTAATTAAAACGCTTAAAATTCAAATACTACACAATAATCTCAATTTATCCTTATTAGATATATTACTTATAAGCTAACTAAAACAAAACAAAAATTAAATTAAAAAATCAATTTTAAATTTAAAAGATTAAAAATAAATTTATTTTAAATTTAAGATATTAAAAATATTTTGAAGTCTAATTATTTTATAAATTTACTTCTAAAATATCCTTAAATGCAATTACTTTTTTTATTCTAATTTTTTTACAACATAAATAAAGAATATGTCTCAAATACTACAAATTGAACTAAAAACTTCAGGTTTTATTGCTAAACATAGATAAAGAATATGTCTCAACTACTACAAAACCACTACACTTTCATGGCCAATTTCATAAACAGTCTAAAAATTGCATTATGCTAATTGGACAGGATCAATGTCCAATGGTAAGTCTATTTTGCGCGATTCTCTTTGATTGGCACACCAAGTTTAATTAGCCAGTAGATGTACCAGATAAATCAATACACAATTATATAAAAACATAGTTCAGGTAAAAACAAAATAACGTAAGAATTTTTATTAAAAATCAAGATCTGTCCCCGATTCAATGTACCGGGTAAGACGTTGTTTAGTAGTTAGAAACAGAGACGATTCAACAAAAACTCGATTTTGTAAACTGAATCGCACCTTAAGCAAGAACTCTAGGTTGAGTGGAAAGTGTATGGAAAAGTTACTAGTAAACGCCTTGATATGAGTCAGAAATCGGCATTTATCAGCGAAACTTCCAGTAATCAATTTTGGCCTCCCATGAATCAGAATAAGCACTTAACATTACGTTCAAGCTTATCTGGGATTATGAAGGCCGATACACAAAACGAAACCAAATGATAACATCTAAAAAGAATGAGAAAGACAACCTCTGTGGCTGCTACACAATGCTAATAACAGACTTTAGGGTTTAGCTGCATGTTAGGCCTCTCGAGACAGATATATATAGCATCGTTAACTCAACAGATAAGTGTTGGGCCCAAGAAAACACAACACAAAGAGGAAACCCAGCCCAAAAATAATATGTTTTTTTTTTACAGGATATATTGGTTGGTTAAAAAAAAAGGGAAAACATAGATAATAATTTACTTATTTAAAAAGAAATAAAGAGGAAGAAAGAAAAAAATAATAAATTATTTTATTTTATTTTATTTTTATTTTCTTTTCATTCAAATACTTACTATTGTATTTGACTATTTGGTGCTTGAATTTATCAAGTATTTTCACGTTTTCACAAGCTTATTACTATTTTCATAATATGTTTTTATAAAATGGTTAATCAACCCGCAATAAACACTTATAGAAAAATAAATTAAAAATGGAAAATAAAACAAAATTTTCTAATACATTATAATTAGTTTATTCACATGCTAATTCATAAAAACTCTCTCGACTTAGGATTTATGGTTGTTGAAAGTTTTTGATTTTAGAATGTAATTTTCAAAACAAAACTTATTCAACTAAGATAGCGAAAAATAGTTTTTAACTTATTTTCAAACCATTTTTAAATTAATTTTTAGAAGTAAGAAAAAAACAAATTTTAATTTTAATTTTAATTTTAAAATACACTATTGATATATTTGACATGACTCTTTTTATTACAACCATCATCAACATTATCAATACTATCACTAATAACAACACCACCACAATATCACCACTATTGTCACAGACAAGTTTATTATAATTATTGAGATCTAAAGAAAATTTATGTTGTGTCTGTTTGTCAACATGTAACTATTTTTGAAATAAGATATAGAAAGTAATATGTTTTTAGTTCTTGAATTCTTATCAATTTTTGCTTTTAATCCTTCAACAAAATTTATTTGATTTTAGTCCTTGGAATTTGAACAAAAGAAACTAACCTTGGGAATTAAACATGTTAATGGTGAAAAAACTTTAAAAACTAAAAATGAAAATCAATAAAAGTTTAGGAACTAAAATTCATAAAAAAAAATCTTAAATCTTAATATCTAAATCCAAACACTAATATTAAATAATTCTTGTACTGATAGATCTTAAATTTTAGTAATTTCACTTTTAAACTAATTTTGACTATTAACATTGTTATTACTATTGTCATTATTAATACTAGCAGAAAAAAGACATTCCGTGCCTACATTGTATTAAAAAAAATGAGAAGTGATTCATAGAAAAGTAGTTATTAAAAAATAAATAAAGAATAAAATGGTCCATATATTTAAAAATAAAAATAAAAATTAAATAATAGAAGTATATTAATCTAATTGGTATTGTGATTAATCTATTAGTTTTAAGTTATTAAATTTGATATAAAAAAAATATTTTTTCTAATTTGATATAATGGTCCAAAAATTGTGGAGACCAAAGTGGTTACTAAAAAGGGTATCCCCTTTATATATTAGTATAGATTACAATCAACATTACCTCTCACATCTCACCACACAAACACATCCTAAATTTAATTTTAATAGACTAAATGATACAAATTGACTGTAGTTTAAAAAAATTTAAAACTTGAGACTGAAAAGCACCTCACCGTCCTTAACTTCTTTAAAAGTTTATTTTAATGAGGAGAGTTATAATAATACCGGTGTAACTTTTACTAAGTGTTACACCGCTAAATAAATTCATATTAAATGTGAATTTTGTAAATCCAACCGTTAGATTGAAAGTTCATATCACTTTATACGTGTATATCAAATTTTGTTAAAATTAAACAACTTGAAGGCAAACAAAGTGTTTATATTTTAGTATATTTTGAAATAAATATATTACGTCAATTTTATTTTATAAGAATAAAGTATCAAATCATCTTGGATTAATATAAAATTTTATATATATAATCTAAAAGATATGAACTTTCAATCCAACGATTGAATTTACAAAATTTACATTTAATATAAAGTTATTGAGCGGTGTAATACTTAGTAAAAATTACACTAACCCTCCTCTATTTTAATTTATGTATAAATTAATTTTAATTTATAAATAAAATTATTTTATTTTATTTTCTTATTCTATAGGAACCTTTTTTTAACAGAATCACGGACTGTAAATAAGCCTTCCTATTCGATGACATACTTATCTAAAATTATCTTAATATTTTTAGATTTATGATCCTCCCTTTCCTTTTTAGTTATTTATAATCCACTAATTTATGTTTCTTTTTATCTGTTTCTAAAATCGGACTTGTCCAACCACCAACCGGGTGCTTTATAGGTCACTTGGGACAAATATGGTATACACGATCTATAATGCCTTATCCTTTTCATTTTTTGTTTGACAAACAGACCCATGATACGGCTATATATAGTTGGTAAGCACTTAGCACTAATACAAATTACAAGGATCTGGTTCAAGTTATTTTGTTTCCATTAAAGTGAAGAGCTTCAAACAAAAGGAAATCGACAAGAACATTGGCAACAAATAAACCAAACATAAGATGTACGTACAGCCAAACTAAACAAGTAGAGAAACAAACAAATGACATCATTACAAGTTTACAACAACACCACTTGCAACAAAAGCCTTGTGACACAAGAGTCTAGCAGTGGAAAGAGTCCACAACCTTGCACTTGACAGGGAGTTCCATGGCTTTGTTGGGATCAACACCATAGAAAGAGAGCAATCCTGAATCCTTGTAGCGACAGAAACATTGAAGATCAGCCTTGGCAATGTAACGAGCATAAGGCTAAGGAGGGGAACCATCCCTCAAAAGCCGGCCCAAGAGGTTGGAGAACCTCCCGCCTTATAAGGACTCCTTGGTGAGGAGACCTCCCCGATGTGGGACTTGTTACATTACCACCCCCTTCGAAAGCCAGCGTCCTCGATGGCTGCACTCCACGGTACTTCACTCATCGGTACTTCACTCGGCCCTTGCCGGTCAGAACCCTCCGATGGTCAGAACCCTCCGTGGGTAGCCCTTCTCGATTTGGCTGGCTCTCAACGAGAGCACCATTGTAACGAGCATAAGGCTAAGGAGGGGAACCATCCCTCAAAAGCCGGCCCAAGAGGTTGGAGAACCTCCCGCCTTATAAGGACTCCTTGGTGAGGAGACCTCCCCGATGTGGGACTTGTTACATTACCACCCCCTTCGAAAGCCAGCGTCCTCGATGGCTGCACTCCACGGTACTTCACTCATCGGTACTTCACTCGGCCCTTGCCGGTCAGAACCCTCCGATGGTCAGAACCCTCCGTGGGTAGCCCTTCTCGATTTGGCTGGCTCTCAACGAGAGCACCATTGTAACGAGCATAAGGCTAAGGAGGGGAACCATCCCTCAAAAGCCGGCCCAAGAGGTTGAAGAACCTCCCGCCTTATAAGGACTCCTTGGTGAGGAGACCTCCCCGATGTGGGACTTGTTACAGGCAATTGCTGAGCAACAAGCAGTGGAAGGGTCAACAGGATTGTCCCCACTCACACTCGGCAAGCATGCCTTCAATCCATCTTTGGGCATATGACAAAACGAGAGTTGGCCCATTGCCAACATGGGCCCTGACCCGATCATCACAATCGCCAACACCACAACCACAATCATAATCTTCTCCATACCTATCATAAACTTCACCCTTCTTCTACTTCATTCTCAATAGGCTTTATATAGAGAGACTGAACGTGGCACTGTGTGGGATATAGAGCTCCCGTGACAAACTCTGTGCTGGCTCATTGGGCCATTGTATCACGGGCATGCAAAGTGTTTGGTGATTTAAGGGAATAATTCGATGTTCGCATTATTCTAGCAGCTTTCTACACGTATAATAACTATAATTTTGTGCAATGGTGACATGTGAAGTGTGAATGGAATTAGATTCCCACGGGGAAGCTTCAAAGTGGATGTGGATCACCAAACCATACCACAATTACAAACTATTTTCTCCAACAACATTATTAGATTCAGAGCTCCAGACAAAACACGAAAACAAACCGCAACATAATGTTGCACTTGCACATAATCTTAAATAAAGGAGACACAACCTCTGTCACTAAACCCTCATAAATATATAGGAATTGTTTAGATCAACTTTTTTGATACACTTTTAGAAGAAAAATAAATTAAATTATTTTTTCATAAACTATAATTAACTTATCAACAAATTAATTTGTAAAAACCCTCTCTTCCAATCAACTTTTCAAGAATTTTATTTTTAAATTATGTATGAACTAATTTAGTTTATAAAAAAAGTTTATTTAATTTTTTTTATATTTTTTTCTAAAAATATTTTCGAACAAATTTATCTGCCCATAATTTTAATATACCGTATATCAGAAGTGCAGATGATGAGCATATCATTTTTTTTTAAAAAAAAACACCGAAAGTTATTAATTCTTAATCAAATGGGATATTATTTTGTGTTACGTATTAAAACTAGGCCTGTTTAAAAATTATCAGTGAATCAACTAGAACCATAAACCAAACTGAACTAAAAGTTAATTAGAATATCAAATGATTTTTAACAGTGCATCAAACTAAAGAAATAGTAAGTTCGGTTCTAATTAATAGGTTATTTTTGGTTCAATTTAATTTGAGGGGAACATTTTTCAATATTTGGTTCGATATTTTCTTTTCTATGTTAAATTGAACCATGATTAATTATTTAAAAAAATTAATGAACCAAACTAAATTGGAAGTTAAGAAATTGAATTGTTTTCAACAGTGCATTAAATAAATAAATAAATAACAAAAACAGTTCGATTCAATTCAGACAAACCATATTTTTATGTTCAATTCGGGAGGTTCAATTTTCTGTGTTGAACCAAACCATAAACATGCCTAATTAAAACATGCTTATAATTTCTTTAAAAAAATATTCTACTATACAAAATGAATTTAACTTATATACACTAATTGTGAGTTTATAAATTTAATTTTCCATAATGTCACTCTACCTTACTATGTTATCGATCCAAGCACCTCTTCCTTATAGGGTTTATAATGAGTTTTCCCCTAAACACGAAATAAATAAATAAGAAAAGATATATTTAAGCACGATTTACAGGTGATCAAGAAGTCAATAATGTCAAGTAATGAGACAATGTCAAATTAAATTGCATTATTAAAAAACAAAAAGATGCAGAGACGGCATGTAATTTAAATTGACCAACCAACCTTATAAATTACTCACAGACTAAATGAAATGACCCGAAAGCACTATTATTTATGGCTAAGCAAAGTAAGCCAATGAACATAGTCTGCTTTCATAGTGATAATTGTTTTTCTATTATGAATAATGGACCACTCACGTTCCGTTACACTACAAACATGAAACGTCATCAGCTTAGGTTGCTATGAACACATTTCTAACACAACTTCAACCATCAACAAATACTCCATATATAGTTGATCAGATCAAGATTAAGAATGCATTTTATTTCTAATATATAAGAAAATTTTCATTGATTAATTAAAAATATATTGGTGATCAAATTTGTAATCTCTATAAACTATACAAATATCCCTCACTTCTAATAAGTTCGCTTCTTGCCATGTCTTCGTTAATTGAAACTAGCTAGCTCTATGCAAGTGCAAACACAACGTTCTAAATGTCTGAAAGACAAAATGAAAGGCTTGACATATAGAATCATGTATAGATTTATTTGAGATGAGGTTACGTGGTAAAAAATGAAGACCAAAATTAGTTAAAACTAAAAAGGAGGAAGTCCAAAGTTTGGTCCATCTCTTGGAGCATATATATCAAGAAACAAAAATTATGTAATTAGGAATATTTAATTAGATAAATTGGGTCATTAATGATTAGTGAATTTCCTTATTACTCATAAGATTAATATATATGAGAATGTGTAATGATCTCATAAGAGATCGATAGAAAAGGATATAAATTGTGAAGGAATGAAGAATAATATATGTAACTTGTATATTTTAAGATTGATATATTACGTATTTAGTTTCAATTATATAAATAATTAATGTAGTTTCAATTTCGTAATATTTCCATCTTCTAAGCTAGATACAAAGCACCTACTTTGACATATTTCATAACATAAGCTAGCCAAACGAATTACTCCGGTGACCAAGAAAGCCATCAAATTCAATCAATATTTTAGTGATGTGGCAGAAGCAAGAAATCACGTGAGTGATGAGCCAGTTCACGTAGTCGTAGTGCGGATTTTATTTTGTATTTTCAGCTTCAACTAGTAGTGTGGTGGAAACCACTAAGTTGCCAACACGTGTTATTCAGTGATTATGTAGCAGGAAGAGGCCCCAAAATCCATATCCATATATATCCATATTTGATTAGAAAAAAATGACAAGTGGGTGGGAGCACGCGAATATGATCTTTTTATACTTTATACACAAACGCTAACATGACTTCCCATTTTGATCAAGGGAGTGTTACTATTAAAGCCTTTTAAACACACTAAACTTATGGTCGGTCAAATTTTTTTCATTATATTAATAAGGATGGAAATTTGTTAACACCGATGTTTGCTACTTATATTTTTAATCAAAATTTAAAATTTAAATTATATTTTTATAGAATCATATGAAATTACTACTTTACTAACATTAAAAGGTTAATATAACTCCAAGCGTGTGGTTCAGCGGTAGGGGTTATCCACGCTTAAGCAAGGTTAGGGGTTTGAATCCTGTCTTGTGTATGCAGCCGCGTTAAATTTTGGGGCCAGCTATCCTATTCTTTGAGGTGTATCCAACGTAGTGAGAAGATTAGTTACTGTTATCGGCCCTGGATACTTCAAGAACGAAAAAAAAAGTTAATATTTTGGAGGAGAAATCATTTTCAATAAAGAATTTTCTAAGATTTTTAACAAGTTGAAAAGAAAAAAAGTGGTTATATTTTCAAAATAAATAGGGCATAAAAAGATAATAACACTATAGACATACTTGTATTATTCATAAATTCAAACCTTTAAATTCTACCTAGGTCCGTCACCAATGATAATAATGATGAATAATTGTAGTAATAATCAGTGTTTTAAAACTCGGTTCGAACCGGCCGGTCGAACCGGAAACCGGTGGTTGGACCGAGCCGAACCAGTGATCAGACTGGATGTGCAGTTGACTCGATATGACTCAGTGTGACCCGGCTAAAAACCCGGTTGAACCAGCGACTCGCGAGTCTCATGACCCAAACCGGGTCATCATTTTTTTTGGAAAAAAAATAATTAAACGGCGTCATTTTTTTAATATAAAAAATAAAACCTTCAATTTTGAAATGTCTCTGCCCGCTGCACGCTACGCGCTTCCTCTTTCAGAAATCCTGTTTTTTTTCAGAGTTTGATTTTAAGACACGAACCTAACCCTCCCGCACCGTCGATCGTCGCTCGTCGCTCCGTCGCATCACTGCACAGCTGCACCGCTGCACTACCGCATAGTCGCACCACCGCACTGTCACACTACCGCATCGCCGCATCGCTGCACTGCCGCCTCGTCGCACCACCGCACCATTGTTTCAAGTTATAAGGTTCATTAAATTATAAAATCACAGGAAAATGTGCGATTTTTTTATTCTTTAAGATATTGGTAGCATTTTCTAAAATATTATGATAATTGTAAAAAAAAAGGATTAAAAGAAATAAAGAGATGATATGTGGGTTTGTGTATCATATTATGATAATTGTAAAATATTGACGCCATATATGATTTTTTGATTCTTATGTGTGTTTTTTACTTGTTTGAAACTCATATTTAAAATTTGTTTTATTTGCTTAAAATTCATGAATGACATTATAAAATTATGTTAAAATGTGTTTGTAATTTTTTTGGAGTTTCTTTTAAGGTATGATGTGATTTTTTTTTGAAATTTATAGGTATGAAAATATGTATAAAATTTTTTAATTTTTTTTAATAGAAACCGGGTCATGCAGTTTAATAGGTGACCCACCGGTCTAACCATTGACCCATTGACCCAGTACTCTCACCAGTTCAATGACCGGTTCGATTTTTAAAACACCGGTAATAATAGTGTTAATAACAATTATTATTGTAAATAATGTTAGAATAACAACAATAATGTGTAAATGACAACAAAAAAAAGTAACGATGATAATAATAATGATATTTACCAAAAATACTAGCGACAATAATGGTAGTTATAATAATGATGATAATAATAATAATAATTGTGAAATTAAAAAATTATGTCATATGAAGTAAGGGTGAAAAGGAAAAAAAAAAATCTTTATCATACCCTATTTGTTCTTATATTAATTATTAGGAGTTTGTGTACTCGCTCGATAAAATACCAACTTCACATGGAGAATTATTAATTCTCCTGTGCAGACATCTACTACTAGGACAAGTCTCATATCTATATCCTCATTATTATCTATATCCTCGTTACTAGGAGTGTTATATATATATTTCAATCATTAATAATCATGTTGATGTCCAACATGAAAGTATATGATTAAAGATTTGTCTCCATAAATACATAGATTAGTTAATAGAATATAAAAAGAGTTGTCCTATAATTTTTAGAAGATCTTGATAAAAAATATATATATATATATATATATTCCCATTTTAGAATTAGAATGACTTGATTTTATTTTTTTTAATTGTGTACACATACTATTACTAAGTTATTCTAGATATGCCTTCCATACCATATCAATAACAAAATTGGTTCTAAAGTTTGGAGATGTAAATTTCTAAATTTGAGAATTATTTACTTTTATATCTCAGATTGTAAATTACGATTCCGATGTGTGGTTTGTTTTTAATTTACACTAAGAACGTACGTGATCAGAAAACAACTGATTATTACTTCTCCGTTTTGAATGTCAAGAAGCTTGTACAGATTAAAAAACCAAACATCTATACTACTAGAAAATTTGTAAATACGTTGACTTTAAATGCCGTTAACCAAACCCGACCAAATTTTCTCTTTCACGTTAAATCTATTGCAATAATGTGTGCTATGTGCTTAAACAGATAAAAACACACATATAGACACTTTTTTTTTTGGTGAATACATATATAGACACATACGTATGCCAAAGTGGTGCTAACATAATTAGTAGCTAATAGCATTGTCCTTCCGAGTTAGCCATATATATTTAAAGTTATAATGTTCCAGGAGCAACAAACATGTAGGTTTAGGTTTATGTATATGTATACTCTTCTACCAACACAACTTTAAAGCTATGTCTTTATAATATTTCTGTTTTCTAGCCACTTAATCCAACTTATTCAGATTTCTTCCGCAAGCCCCAGCGAAGCTTGTTTAGAAACTCCGCTATGGAATTTAGAATATTATTGTGGGAGACTTGCAAGTATAAGTCAATCAAATTCTAATAAAAATCAAACTAAATGATTTTTTTAATATTATATTCGTTCTTGGTTACTGTACACTTAGTGATAACCTTCTTTTAAAACAAAACTTGAATGCTTAAACTTTTACCACTGATTTTCAATTAAAATTTAAATTAGTGTCTAAATTTTTGTGCTCTTTTTCATTTCTATTTGGATATAAATGAAAAAGTTTTGTTAATTAACCAGTAGCTAAAACACTAATTAAAGTAATTGAGACAATTGTATATCTAAGATCTTGATCAAGTTAAATAATTTCATAGAAATTGATTGACATGTTCGTGGTTACTTATTTTTTTATCTAGAGGTATAAAAATAAAAATAATATAATGTAATAGAAAATGTTATGAAAAAAAAAATCATGAAATATTGACGTGAGAATAACGTTATTCTAAACGAAATAGGGAGCGAAAAGGGTTGGGTTTGGGTAAAATTGTCAAAGTGGCATTAATGGCAGCACGCGGTGTTTTGAGGTTCCCTTTGAAAACTTGTGCTATAAAAAAAGGCACAAATCGCATCCTAGTTTGTGGTTCAGTGAATGTGTTGTGTGTCGTTAACGACTAACGAGTCTCATTAAGGTGAAGCTTGCGCTTCTTGTTCTGGAGCTTACCTACGTTGCTTCTAACTCCTTCTCTCGTGGCCAATCTTTGTTGCTTTGCGCGTTAAAATTGTGCACTCTCTAGTGTAAAAGGGAAGACGGTGACACAGAACAGAACCTAGCTAGTAGTTTCAAGAGAGAGAGAGAGAGAGAGAAGGGTCATTTCATATATTTTCATTGCTTGTGGCGTTTACCATCTTTCAATATTCAACACCTCATTTTTCTCATGCGTGCAAGCCATTCTCATATCTCAACCCACCCACATTTCTTGGTTCTTAACCGCTTTATTTGCCTTTAAGATTCTGCATTCCCTCTTCCACCTCAACTTCTTTCCTTCTTCTCCCTTTTCTCTCCCAAACAAACCACCCTTTAGCTCCATCGCTTTTCATTGTCCTTGTCTTGGATTCCTCGTCTTCAATCACTTTCAAAGGTTTGAACTTTTCCAAAATCTCTATCTGGGTCTGTTTCATTTCGGTTTTACTCGTTTTAGTCTTTTTGCTGTGACTGGAATCATATTATTAATGTTTCTGATGTGTGCAACTCTTTGAGATAGCACTTCTTTTAAATCATATTTCTCTTATTGTTCTATGAAAATTGCATCAAAAATAGTGAATTGGGTTATCATAATATCATTCGCTTGATTGCTTAGGCAAGGAATTGATCACATAGGGTTTTGAGCTTTCACTCTTTTTGGTTATTAGATCATTAGCAAAATGGGGAGTCATATGAGCAAGAAGATCCCTGAAACTTCTTCTTCTATTGGCTTCGGCACCGAATTGCACTATAAAACTGAGTTGAGTTCATATGAGGCTGCTTGCAAGCTTGATTCTGATTTGCAGTCCTTTGACACCACACTTCAAGCTAGAACAAACCAGGTTATCAACACTCTTGCTGTTGGTGTTGAAGTTCGGGCCCTTTCATTTGATTCTCTAAAACAAATCACAGAATGCCTTCTTGAGATGAATCAGGAAGTTGTCAAGGTAATCTTGGACTGCAAGAAAGACATATGGAAGAGCCAAGAATTGTTTGAACTGGTTGAGGAGTACTTTGAGAATAGTCTCCAAACTTTGGATTTCTGCACCACATTGGAGAAGTGCCTAAAGAGAGCTCGTGATAGCCAATTGCTTATCCTTGTGGCTCTTCAACAATTTGAGGAGGAATCAGGATTAGGAGACAACCGCTATGTGAGGACATTGCGAGAGTTTAAGAATTTCAAGGAAGCTGGTGACCCTTTCACTGAGGAATTCTTCCAGATCTTTCAGTCTGTTTATAGGCACCAGATACTCATGCTTGAAAAGTTGCAACTAAGGAAGAACAAGCTTGATAAGAAGCTAAAATACATCCATTCTTGGAGGAAAGTTTCAAGTATGATCTTTGTGGCTACTTTTGCTGCAGTCTTGATCTGCTCGGTTGTAGCAGCAGCTATTGCAGCACCGCCTGTTGCTGCTGCGATTGCTGCTGCTACGTCGATCCCAATAGGATCAATGGGAAAGTGGATCGATTCCCTCTGGAGGAACTATGAAAATGCATTGAAAGGGCAGAAGGAAGTGATTAGCTCAATGCAGGCTGGTACTTATGTTGCTATAAAGGACTTGGACAACATTCGAGTTCTAGTTGATAGACTAGAAATTGAGATTGAATCTCTATTGCATAATGTGGATTTTGCCATAGAGGAACAAGCTGTGAAAGTTGCCATAGAGGAGATCAAGAAGAGGCTAGGAGTGTTTATGAAGAATGTTGAAGATTTAGGAGTTCAAGCTGATATTTGTAGCCGTGACATAAGGAGGGCAAGGACTGTGGTACTGCAGAGAATCATAAAGCATCCCCAGAATTAAGACAATCTCATTCTCATGCATGTCTAATCTGCCAGTAACTGTTTGATGAATCGGAGAATACATGAAATTTCTTGTTTCATGGGTTCGTGTTGAAGATAATAACCGGGCATATTTGATATGTCTCGACGCTGGCAGCTGATTTTTTTATTCTTTTCATTATTTCATACAATAGTGCACTAATGTATATATTTCATTTTTATGATTTCATTTGGTTTTTAGTTTTCTGAGTTGAGACTAGTTTGAGTCTTCATATCTTGAAAAATATACATTAAAAATTCAATAAAAAAAATCTTCGACACACTCTATTTTGAGCATTCTTTTACTATTAGTTAAAACTTGATATAAATTTCATATTTTTGGCATGAGTCACTTATCATTTAATGAACTTTTCTCCTATAATTTTCGACAAGTTCTAAGCAATAATAAGATGTGTTGTTAGCATTCCTGAACCAGTTAAACAAAACCAAGATAAATGTCTACGATATTGTTGGGGTTGATACTCCAACCAACGTTAAGTTTGATGTGAGCTGAACCCAACCTGTGCTTTATCGAATCTTTTTTATTTCTTTCTCAAAGAGCTTGTTGAAACACATACGGTATCACTTCATTATCTGCATGATATACTTATTACATACAATATATAATTTTGAAATGATATTACATATAAATAAAAAAATTATAAATTTAGTAAATTTGATTATTTGACCTTTTTATTAACGTTTAAATATTTCACTTTTTTTCTGAGATTTAAGTCCGAAAAAATTTATGGAGAGGTATATACGAAAAGAATATAGTAGGATTATTATTGATAAAATGTTGTTAAATGGATTGGTTATTGGGAAATTTGGGTAAACTTTGCCCCTAAGGAACCCTAGTTTCAAGAATGTATCGTATAAGTTATGACTTGCTTCCTTTCCGTGCGTAATACACACCAAATTCAAATAACACGGAAGGCGGTTCGGCATAAAAGCTCAAAATGGATGCCAAATTAGGTACCCATCGTTTTAACCACCAAAGCCCAAAGGAATTGTGGCTCCTTTAATCTATATCTATACTAGTAAGTAGTAATCTGCTTCTATTTAATAATTAGAATTATCATGTTTATCATTCACAAGTTTTAAACAATTTTGTACTTACAAGTAACTCTCAAATTCCACTTTTTTCCATCATTTTTTTTGTTTTTATTCTTTATTTTTTTCGTAAATTTCACTTTTTAAAATGATGCTTAGTCAACAAAAACTATATTATGCAAACATAAATTAATTATTAATTTTTAGTTATCAGCTTTTAGATAGCGTGTGAAACATGAAAATTTAACAATTTAAATTCCTTCTGTAGATATACATTCGTCGCCATAAAATGAACTTGAGCATTTACAAAGATACCGTTGTGCAATAGCTAAAAGCATAGAATCAGTAACGTGTTACTTGTAGGCTATATTTGTGGATATTTAATAATGAATTGAATGTGGCAAAATCTTAACCAAAAAAATGTGGCAAAATAAATTGAAATTTATTGAATTAGTTATTATTCTAATATCAATCCACTTGATTTCGTGGTGGTGTGGGGTAGGGGTTGAGGTGGGTGAGGATATTGACAATACCCTCTCTCTCTTTTTTTTTTTTTTTTTTTTTTTTTTTTCCGCCTCCCTACTTTTTTTTTTTTTAATGATAATTTGACAAAATATCCTTTATGAAAATTAATTCCTATTGTGTATCTTGATATGATTTTGTCAAAATAAACGAGTTTCTTCTATGTATCTTGACATATCAAAAACTAGTTTCCATGTATCGTTGACACGTAAAAGAGATAAAAATAAAATAAAATAAAATAAAAAAACACTAACGCTAGTGGAAAAGAACCAATAAGATAAACAACGGGAGTGTGAAAATCATGGGCCCTAACAAATTGTTGACAAAGTTCAAGTGTATGTTATTGTATAGTTTTTGCTATTTATATCCCCCTAGTTACTAAATACACCCCTTTCCTCTTTTTTATATTTTTTAATATCAAATATAATCCTATAACTTTTTTTTCACCCCATGTTTTTATACTTTTTAAACCCTACCCTTATGTACGGGTAGGGGCGTTTAGCCACCCTCTTATCGGTTACCGAGGGACCGAATCAGGTGGGTGGCTAAACGTCCCTACCCGTACACCTTACATCATCATGTTTTTATTATTTTTAAAATCCTAACTTTGAACCCTACTCTTCACTCCATATTCATCAGTCTTTAAATTTTGCACCTATGATCAAGTAATACTAAAATTTACAAGAAAGTGATTGATGTATTTTTCAAGAAATTTATATAATAGTGCAAGTTTTCTTCTACATAGTATTGTTTTACAAGCTATGTTTAATGCCCACGTATTTTATATTCTTGTTTAAAAATACTTGGACTAAGAAATTATTGGTCTCAAATACTATTCTCATTACTTTATAAATTGTGAGATACTTTGCATCATACTTTGATTTATCTTCGTCGTCCTCCCAACTCATTATGTGTGGTGCGTAACTTTCATTGAATTTCATTTGAAAAATACCCCCATGTAGCTCGTGACTCTTGGATTGCATTTAAATTTGTCATTTAAATGTTTACATTGGCGAGTGTTCTTGAACTCCAAAAATTGATTTCCGTAACTTATAACAATTCCGAAAAGTGGTTTATGGAACTCTGTGTAGTTTACTAAAACATTTTGGAAAGTATTTGATGGTGGAGCTACGAGAAATGGATGAAGAACTCCTCCTTGACTTCACCTTTTTTTTCTTTTTTGCTAAGCAAAATTGAATTAAATAAGAGGAATACAAGGGGTACTCCAACCCATATATACAACATAACCAAAGTAAGTAGTGCACCTCTGACAACAGGAGGTGTTTAATGAAAATAACACAATAACTACATACCTCCTAAAATCAATTTGCAAACATCATACAATAAAAGACCTTGCACTAATAGGTGGAACAACCAAACTAGCAATCCAAAAAAAGACTATCAACTGCAAAGTGAAACCAATCAGCATTGTCAAAAGTATTGTCGCAACTAAGTCGGAATCACACACCCAGATAGCAATAATCACCAACAAAATCACTTAATAAAAATTAAGGCATACGGCAGGGGACTCAGCCCAAGAAGAAAATGAGTATGAAAAAGAATTATCTCTCGCTTTTAACCATTTCCAAGTGTGCAATTTTACCAATTCAAGCACGTCTAAAGTAGACAGCACCCTGTCAGAAAAAATAAGAGCATTTCTTGCTAGCCAAATACTCCAGATTACAGTCAACCAGATCACAGCCCATCTATACCTCATTTTGGAAGGACAGAGAGGCAGCCCAAGAAATTGATCAAAATGAGCAATGAAGCTATTTGACAGCACAGAAGTGAAGCCACACCATTCCAAGGAAAGCATCCAAACATGATATGCAAAATAGCACTCAAATAATAGGTGTGAAGAAGTCTCCATCCTATATTGACACCATACACAAGAACTATCCGAATAATAAGAACATGTCGCTTAACAAGATTAAATTTTGAGGGGAATCTATCTAACAATACCCTCCAGACAAAACAAGAGACCTTATAGGGCACCAAACAACACCAAATAAACCTGTGTAATGGTATTTCAGCAAAAAGAGAATCATTGACAATAACATGATAAGCTGACTTGACAGAATACTTGCCATCTGAATCAGCTTTCCATCTCCAAGAATCATGAGTATACTCTTGAACCTGAAAACCACGAAGATCAAAAACTAATAGATCCAACTGTTCCAATTCCCACTGAAATAAAGGCCTTCTCCACCTCCAATTCCACTCAACACCACCCCCTCTACCAAAGAACATGTCTGCCACGGTTGCCTCTGCGTTGATAGTAATAGAAAAGAGCCTACCATATCGAACACAAAAAGGAGTTGTAGTACACCAAGAATCCTTCCAAAAAGAAGTGTTTCGCCCATTACCCAAAACTCTTACACACATTGTAGAAAACCAATCCCAAGAGATACCATCACACACATCAATACTCCACAGATCTAACCACCACCTGGACACACTACCCCTTCTACCTTCCAAAGTCAAGGATGGCACTCCATATAAAGATGTTAACACTTTATTCCACAACCTATCTCTCTCAACTAATAGACGCCACCTCCACTTCCCTAATAGAGCAAAATTGAAAGCTCTCAAATCTCTCAAACCTAGTCCCCCATACTGTTTTTCTCGACACACATCAGCCCAAGAGACCCAAACTAATTTCCTATGTTCATCATCCCCTCCTTGACTTCACCTTGCGTAGGATCTCTTCTTGGAAGAATAATGACCGAATGAAGAAGGCTTGAAGGATGGAAGATTTCGGATCAAAGAAGCCTAAACTAAGGATGGAAGCATCCAAGCTTAAGCAACAAGAGATTGCTCACTTCAATGGTAGGAAACTAAGCAAGGTTCCTAAGGTTTGAAGGCACTCTCTCTCTCGGTGACTCTTGAAGAATTTGGCTGAAGAAAATGTTCAGAAATTCTATATATCAAAAGTGATTACAAAGTGGAGTCTTAAGGGATATATAGGTCCGGTTTTGAGTCCACTCACATGTGCTTAGTCGTGAACCAATGAGCTAAATGCACTTAGGTTTAATTTGAGTCTCATTTAGGGTTGATTTTGAGTCACACATGTTCAACTAAGGGTGGCGCCATTCATGTGACTCAAAATGCAACTTAAATGCAACTTAAATTAAACCTAGTTTTGCCTAATCACCTTAATCCAATAATCCTCCCTATTTCCTATGCTAATGACCGAAATACATAGGTCAAAGAAATACAATGGAAAGGAAAATTTATAACAAGAAGAATGAGCCCAATATTGGGTGTCAAAAACTCAAAGGCGCATAAAGCCCAATTGTAGGCCCAATAAGCCTAAAGCCACAATTCCTAATCTAAGGTCCAAAATACAAGACCAAAACAAGATACATTCCTATTCTAGTAATATGCAATAAAAAGTGGTGTCAAACAATTAAAGCCCAAGTGAAAAGCACCCTAGGCCCACCAAGCCCATTGGGCCCACTAAGCTCTGAAGCTGTCAAGTCTTCAAGTAATCTTCTGGCCATTGCTCTAGTGGTTAGACCCTTGGTCCATGCTCTTCCATCAGTATTATTTATAACTATTTTTCACACTTCTAGAAAATATTATTCGAAATTATGTTTTACAGTTTGGAAAAGATAACGAGGAACTAATTTGTTGGATCCATTCATCATGTAATCTAAATTAATAAGATGATAAATGCTAGAAAAATCCTCTAGCGTACTCTTTGGAAAAAAAATTTAGTAAAAATCACAAATTTTTAGAAGTTAGACATCTATTTAATGAATTTTTTATGAGTTATAATTTTTAATAAATTTTAACCATTTAAAATGAGCGAGTTAAAAAAATGTGTTTTTAGCTGTTAGCACTCTTGGTAAGATTCCTCTTAGTAGAATTAGCTCACTTTAACAGTTCTAGAAGCAGGTTTGCATATTACAGTCGCGCAATCACCTAAGTTAATATTATTGCTTTATATGCACCAAAATGGCACCAAAACTGTGACAGAGTTTATATATATATCAGAATGAAAAAGGGTAGTATCAAAACCATAGAACTGCAAAGATGCAAATAATACGCTAAACGTGTGAGGCCTTAAGAAAGCAATGGGAAAAACAACTTCGATGAACCGAAACCATTTTATAAAATTTATCAGGACAACTCTTTAAACAATAGATATAATTGCATGTAATAGCAAGTCCAATACTTACACTATAATAACAACAGTAAGACATGGATCTCCAATAGACAGTGCCTTCAAAGTTCCACCTATTCAAGTATTTGAGATGTGACAATTTGATCTCATCTTCAAAAAGCTAAGAATAGGCTGTGGCCGAATATTGAAATATGTGGCTGGAACCAAATAAGCACAGACTAGAGACACATAAAGTTTAAACCAGAGAGAGGAAAAACTGTAGTACATGCATGTACCTGTCAATGTAACAATTGTCATACAATTTAAAATGCCCTTCACAGCAGAGAGATCCCTTTCTGTTGCCTGATCCGGAAACTGACCTTGAGTTTGAAAATTGGAAAGTAACCGATCCTTCAACTGGAATCTTTTTACCAACCACAAGGAAATTTCGTCTTCAGATACTGGGATACTATCAAGGGGGATGCGGCAGATATGCAGATGAACTTCAGAAGGATCCACCCCAAAGACATTGTCCAAGAAAGATGGGCAGCGGTATTTGTAGCCGATTGTCACGTCATAAACTGACAATGAAAAGTTGAAAAAATCTTAGTCGCATGATAATATGATTTATGTTGTTGTACTTCCAACCTTTCATTGATTTGATATCACTGCAAATAGAAAACTATATAGTATGTACATCATTTTATCCAAAAATAACAAATGACTCCATCTAAGGCAATTCAAGATCTCCAGTCATCAAACCACTAGAGTCAACCTAGTGTGAGAGGTTGTGATAGAATGCACAAAATCTTAGGTTCAAATCTTGTTGTCATCATTGTAATCATTCCTATTGATAAAAAAAATATCTCTAGTCATCAGGTGGCCTATAAACAATTATTTTTCCTCGACAAATGCTAAATGATATTAGACAGATGACAACTGCAGATTTCCCATCATCATATCTAAAGAAAAAGAATGAAGTAGATGATGCACAAATCTTGGTTAAGTACAAGGACGGATTACAAATAAAACTAATGTCACGTAATTTCTCAATAACTATAAAATTGATGAAATGCAGTCAAACAGGACAACCTGCATTGAGAGAGCCCCTCAACTGTTGCAAGCAGGCGCAGAAGCCCTTTGTCTTTGGAAGTAAAACATTTTTCAGAATCGGTAGACCATGTTCAGCAGCATATTTTTGACTCCGAAGGCACTTTTGCTCACTGCAAGAAGAAAAAGATAGTTGTCAATAAATTTTTAACAGAATACACATACAAGCACACAGTTACATATGCTGCATCATCTCAAACTGAGGACAAAGACCACTCGATTTCAAAGTCACCATTTGAAGAGTGGTGACAGCATATTTTTACTAAAAAATTTATGGATGTTTCAAGAGAAAATTGTATGATTCTCAGATAAAAGAAACCTAACCATTTTCTTCTAGCATCATGATGATCATAAGCAAATATATGTAACAATGTATCATACTTTTAGCTGATGATTACCATAGGGTAATAAAAAAAAATTATATAAAAAAAAGCCTAATCAGGTGGCTTACGTGAAATCAGTGCCTTCTGGGAAAAGAGCAAGCCAGAGAGGATCTTGTGGATCCTTGAATGTTGAAAGCATATGGCGCATGACTGACTCATCAGCCTCCCACTTTCTTTCCACCGGGATGAACTCTAGTATGTGAAATGACCAACCAAAAATTGGAAGTCTCATCAAGCTACTCTTAAGTATATATTTTATGTATCCAAGGCATCCCTTCCTCAAGGCAAGGTCCCATAAATACATCCAGTCAACCTCAGTTCTATGATTTGCAATCAGTAAGATCCGTTCTCTTGAAGGAACAATATCTCCAGAAAACACAACTTTAGTCTTGTTGATCTTTTCAAATAGAAAAGGCCACAAGGCTAGCCAAGCACCAAAGAAGAAGGAAGTTGCTCTCCTGCTGTAACTGACGCTAAAAAGTCGCACTATAACGGCACTTATAAAGCCAAAGTACACTAACATTACAAATGCTGTTGAGAACAGCACCAGTAGACACACCAGACCCCTTAAAATCCTCAATGGAGCTAGAGCATGATACTTTGATTCAACACATGAACTTACAGGTGTAAGAACAGCCATTTGCTATATCAAAAGCAATCACAGACTACAAAAATAAAATAACTGCAATAAATCTTCAAGATTTTCCTCCTCAATGAATAAACATATAAGATATCAACACGCTTGGATTGGCAAAACAGGACACCATCATAAAAGAATTGCTCTGGCCAGAAGATTTTTGGTACTGATGCAGACATAAAACAGCTGGAATCAGCCAGTTGTTTTGTCCTTGTAGTTGATAACCCAATAAGATAATATTTTTGAAAACTTGAACCACAAAATGAATGCACCTGGCAGAAAGTTGAGGATATCATATCTTTACCTTGAAGTATATCAAGTATCATAAAACACAAAAGAGGAGAACAAAAGAAATTTAAAAAGAAAGCCTAGGCATATCCAATAGGAGAAGAATTAATCAATACATAATAAATGACAAGGTAAGATTGCTCATAAAGGCTACACCTCAATAACTAGGATCAAACAGAAAATAAATAGTAATTTTAAGAAAAATCAACCTTCCCAATAATACAATGTACGAGAACAGGTTATGTCAATGAATAGGAAGGATGACAGAGTAATCCTTCTTTTCCAGTTGGATTAAAATAATTCAATTGTTTGACAACACTATGGGAGAGGAGGTCAGAGCATCCAGCATGTGTTAGAGTAGCAATGAAATAATGCCTTCGTGATGCAAAAGGGAAGAATCAAACAGCTTTTCTATTGATTGGATAGGTAGGAGAGTATGGGAGGGAGCATGAGAAAACATTTTTTCTAATAACCTAAAGACATGATGCACTAAAATCGGGATTTCAACCCCAACTAAGATACAAACTCCTATCATAATTTGTGACTAGACGGCACCTTTCCTTGTCATTTATTTCTGGCGATCCTTACCACAAGGCATCACAAAAGCCCCTGTGTAAGTCAAGTCAAACTCCAGCCAAATAAAGACACAAATCTCCTTCAATCTCAACATGAGGTGAAATCAGGTAGGGAGCAAACTCACAAACATGTCTAAAACAGATAAAAAGTTATGCATCCATCATCCTAACAAAGCATAGCATTATGATACCAAACATGATCACAACAAAAAAACATGACCACTTCTTTGGAAAACTGTAGACGACCTTGTGCACAAAACAAAACCACATTATGCAAAAAGGGTCTTTTCCTCTTCTTCATCTCCTTTTTTGCCATTTAGAAAACAAGGGACAAAAGGGATGAACCCCCAGTTGCCAAAAGCCTTACCTTTGCTTGTGGGGCAACACACAGTTATGCAAGCTCGGATCTTTAGCAAGAAAAAAAGATTACAGTTTTAGAAAGGAACAATAATCTTTTCCAGTGTTGGAAAACAACAAAACCACCCAAGTGTTTACTGTTTAGCCATGGGAAAGTGATGCAATGAGCATGAGCATCCTCACCTTTGTTCAAGTTTGTGGCATTTTGTCAGCCCCAGAAGACAGACATTGAGATCAACAAAAAAAAAAAACAATGGAGAGTGAGTGAGAAGTGGGAAAGTGAGGCTTCGCCTTGTTTGGTTAAACAGTGAGATTAGATAGGAGTTAGAAGTAAGGTGTAGATTGTGGGGAGTGTTGTGAAATAATAGTACTCTCCTCCTCCACTGATGTTTCAAGCTGAACAAATGTGAAAGAAAAGGCTCCAAATTATGTGAAACTACGAAGAATGCCACCTGCTTTTACGGTACGGTTTTCAAATTTCAAAGAAGTTTCTACTTTTACTCACAAACCTGCTCATTAAACATGGTACGGTTTTATCACTTCGAAGTTTATTTTTTTTAGTGTTAATTAAATTAAACAAAACTGCCTCGGGAAAAAGCAAAAGTGGCATATGAATCGCTTTAGCATAAAACAGTGGGATGTATGATTGTGTTAAGAGCTGCAACCTCCGAATTTCATTGCGGAATTACTGTCCCAAAATTTCAAAGTTGAAAATATTAAAGTAAGTTATTACTGGTATTTTTTTAGCACGCATAAAATACAGGATAAATATTTATTATATATTAAATTTTCTAAAAAATAAAATATATAAATAAATATTATATTTAAATATATAAATTATATTTAAATTTTAAATAAATAGATAATTTTAAATATAAAATTTATATTTAAGTTTATAAAATTTTAAAAATAATTTAAATTTTGAGATAAGATTAATTTTAAATAGAAATGAATATGTTTTAATAAAAATAAATGCATATAAATGAAAAATAACAGAGATCGATAATCAAGGAAAATATTTTTTTAGGTAGTTGCATAGACACTGTAACACCCCAGTTTTCAATAAAGTTATTATTATTATTATTATTATAATTATTATTATTATATGGTATTTGGTCATAATTATTTTAATAATTATAGAAGAATATTATTTTGTACGTTTTAAATAATTATTGTTTTGGACAATTATTTTGTACGTATTAAATAAGTATTTTTTATTAGCATATTTAAATAAATATTTATATGTTTTAAGAGAAGGTTGATTTTATATGATATTTTGTTATTGAAATTATATTATTATATTTTGGGTCAGAAATATATTATTATTATAGAGGAAAAATATTTTATAATATACATGTATTTATTTTATTTAATTATT